TTTTAACATGCAAATGAAGACTATAATCAGTTCGTGTATGTGCTACGTCACGGTTTATAGTTGCTCTATACAGAACACGCAAATATGAGATTTTTCACGTGCAAACACACTATTACCGTTTTAGTTTCACGGTACACTTGTAATCGTGCTGATAAAAAATATAAAATTTGTATGAAAACATCCGTTACAATGCGGAAATATATCGTTATATGTTTAGGACTTGCTACTTATCGCCATGTTTGTTGTTTAATTTTGATGTACGGATAACCGAAGGCGGAGTTTCTTATGCAAAACAGAAATTGTACTTCCGATTTCGCCACAATGAGGTCGCATATATATATACTTATAAAACTCATTTTGGTTGTCTTGACACCATAATAAGATCTGGAGTCGATATGAAACCCAATGTACTAATGAAATGTCGATGTTTCTGGTTTTTTTTTAAATTTATTTAATGTAGCTTTAAATACATGTACACTAGACATTCTATGTTGGTTTCCCACAAAGCAGAGAAGCATAATATATAATATTATATAGCTAATAATATTGCGTGATTTAAACGGTTGAACATATCAAACTGTTGAATTATGTTGATATTGGACATTTTATAAGACTGTTGAAGTCCCGCGTAAAAGGGGTTCCAATTGATTTTTTGAACACGATGGGACTGGAAATAATTTTTCTTCTGAGTATATAATTCTTAATTATATTTTGCATATCCGTCTGTTTAATAGACGCAACTGATCTTATGTATAGCAATGTCTTTCAAAATAGAATGGTCTGGAAACGCGCTATGTAAACCCTTCTCGCTACAATATACATGTCTCGTTATAAATCGGTATAGTTGCTATAAAGCAAATTATGTAAGTGTTCAAAGAAAATGCGAATATTAAATACACGAGCAAAACTGAAAGTTTTACGACATGATGTTATTTAAAAAAATCTTTAAACTTTTGAAAAAAGGATAAATTACTATTTCAGGAAAATGATGTTTTTTTAAAGCCATTTTGTTACAAAACATAGATTGTTTGTTCAGAATATTAGCCGATAATCGGCGCCATTTTGAAAATGCACCAAATTAAACATCAAAAATATTTGCAAATAACATCGTGAAATATTATAATATTTTTACATGATACGATTTAGTAACATCTTTTCTCTGTAAAATCAATTTCTATTTTGTCATTGAGCAATGCATAAATTTAAAGAAAGCTCATGAAACTCGGACCTATTTTCAAATGTGAGCAGTAGATTTTTACCATTGACACTTGGGAACGAAAAAATTTAATTTCATTGCAAATCTATAAAATTTACTTTTAAAGTAAAAACTGATAATATCATGTAGTCAGAGGTAGTTTTAAAGTAATTTTTTTTGATTGATTTAACAAAAACATTATCTTTATAATTTGATTTTTGAATGGTGATCGATGTGCTATGCCATATCACGGGTCGGTAGATAACCTAATCACTGACTCAACCGAGACATCATTTTTCGTAAAATTGGTCTGTCTCCAGACCATTCTATTTGAAAGAAAGACCTTGTAATGTAAGATATTTAAATTTTATGATTTATATAGCTTTAGGACCTCATCAGTTCCTTTAAACAAAAAATTTACACTCACTGATCCAAGGAATGTATTCGGCATCAAGTGTTAAAACTTATAACCTCCTACACAATCAAGATAAAATAAATTCGTATAAACTAAAATTCAGGTTAGTCTGTCTTCTCCACTTCCCCTCTGTGCGTGCAAGTCGCTATAAGAAGGCACAGTTTGGGGAATAAAGGCAGAAAATTTGCGGCTTGACGGTAGTAAACTAAAATTAACCTGCCCGTTATCGGGACTACTAATACTACTACTTCGTCAACAACTGCCGATGTCCTGACTAAAGCCGAGGGGAGTGGCCCTGCGATGTAAACAGAGACGACGAGGATGCTAGGGTGCGTGAGCCCCTAGCACAGATGGACGGCTTGTAAGACAGGCATTTTGCTTGGCACCAACAGCCCTTTAATGGGCTACCTCCTTTCATTATTCTCTCAGGTTACTGTACATTTAGATTCTCATTGACCGCCGTACAGTGACCTGCTTTTGGCTCAAAGCTAAGACTCTGTGGAAATTGTATGGAGGCAAATTATCACCACTTTGTGATTCATTAAAAATTTAACTTTTAAGGGCATGACTTGTGACGTGTCCGGGGTCCGTACTCGGCATCGGAAGCTATTGTTTGTACCTTACCGGGCGGATGGACCCTCATTAAAAAGAGACTAAATACAAACATATACATACATGCAAAGGGGTACGGCTCATTGAATGCCGGGTTACTGTCACTTCGATTAAAAATGAGAATAGGCCTATCGTTATAATTTTCAATCAAGCTCGCCAAAATCCGACGTTGGGTTGGTATTTTTTTTTACATTTTAACATATTTTAACGTTTATTGTCGATTATAGGTAAAAGTAGATTTTCAGACACTACATCTATTTAGAACATGATATGTTTTTAATAATTAGAATTTAAAATCGCCCAATTATTTTATAGAAAGTGTACAATGGTGACATATTTCTGTAAGTGTGCTACTGTCCGGATATGCTAAATTCGGATGCATTAAAAATAACCCACAGTCCAGACTGACAAGTGTTGGGAACATAAAATGATATATGGTCAATTCAACACTAGAAAAAAATATTCATATTCATAAAGTTGAAAGTAGGAGAAAGAAATATTTCTTTTGTTTAATTAACAAGCAGGGTCTATATTAGTCCAAATATTTAGACGTAACCGCGGATTTGAAGCTATTTTTTACATTGGTCAAATCCGCTTTAACGTCTAAAGATATCTATTTAAAAATCCATAGCAAAATGAAAAACAATAAACATGCACAATCATTCAAACTTTCGATGTAAAATGTTACAAATAATCCTAATTAATCCTACCACAAATGTGTATCTTCCTTATCAAAATCAACTTATTCAAATTTTAAACAATTTAAAACAAATCCCATGTTAAAATTGTGTAAACAGCCTCCATATTGTGTGTACTACGCAATGCGGTGATTTCTGGAACCATATTTTTTAGACGAAATTTTTATTGCGCGCACCTGTCAGCGTCTTAAATCACAACAGAAATTTTTTTTCGTTCAGACTAATTTCGTACTATTGTTTTTTGAGTGACGTCACAGCATGACCGGGAATTTCCAATATGGGGGTCACCGCAAACTGTCTTTCATGTGTCTTCTTAAATATATGGATAAATAAACTACATATCGTGAGTAATGATTGCATATTTTTACAGTTTTTGGGAAAATATGCTTCCGTCTTTTATGCAATCAATTGCTTTTTGTGATAAAAAACATTTAAGTTGTGATTTACCGGTAAATTCAAATCGACTCGAAAAGCATGTCGATTTGTGCTATGGGAAATTAGCCAGTTATGGAAAGACTTCGCATTTTCCGATAAATGTCAAAATGTAAAAAAAAGAAAATGCGATGTCTTTCAATGAAGGACTAGGTCTATATTAGTCCTAGAACTGTATAAATATGACGTCGCTTTGAGATATTTTTGCTTCTGGGCAAAGCAATGTCATATCAAAATTGCTCAAAAACCCATAGCGGAACGAAAAAACAGTTATGACAGCGTGTATGTACATTAATTTTGACAAAATAATTAAACTGTCACATCCGAAAAATCATGATTAAATCCTCTCATGTAATTTAATTCCTTATACCGCCTAAAACGCCTTACTTAACCAGTATGGCCGATAGACTTAAATTGATTGATGATTATATTTTATTTTAAATTGATAAGTACATTATTTGAGAGTTTTAGTTTATGATTGAGCATGAAATTGAAAGAAAAGAAGATAAGCTTTTGAATGAAGCTTGAAAGGCAAGTCAACAGACATTTTTTTAATTTTTCAAAATGCTATGCGTTTATGTGCAATAACTATTAGAGGTCAGGCTTGACCAACATAAACTATGACAAGCCTGTAACGTCTAATTTATTTGACTAGGTCTATATTACCCTGGATAGTGTTTGTTTTATTTGAACATTAGGAGATTCCAAATTTGAAGCACCAAATTAAGTATATAAACTGTATGATTCACTTTTTTAGGAAGTGTTAATACATGTATATTGGTAGACTAAGTATATAGAGTAATATGTAAAATATCATCAGCATGGGTATGAATTATAGGGGTGTAACAATACACTTGTTTTCACAACACGCTACATATCCAGAGCAACAGATAAAGTGCGTATTTACGCATTTAATTTTACAAAATACGCTATTGATTTATTTTAAATGCGTATCAAAACCCATTTAAAAAATACGTAGTTGTTTCAACAATTCATGTGTATTGTCATCATCACAAAATTTACCAGTCGTTGGCTGGTAGTTTTGAATGTTATTCAGGACTTAGTAATCGATGGTCCCCAGTCTCCAAAGTCATATCAATTAAGCACAAGACTGAAATTTATATAATAATCTACTCAGGGCGACTGTCTTTACAGACCAACAGAGACCGTTGATTTTGCAGAGACCATCAAGTAGTAGGTTCATCTGTATCAAAAGATTCTCTGAATGCAATATGGCATTGTTCAAAAGGGGACGAAAGAAAAAACAAGAAGATTTGAAACAATTAGCTAATTGATAAATGATTTCCAGTAACAACATGTTACAATGTAATCGTTTGCAACTAAACTTGTTTTATTTGAAGTCTGACATAGATTTGATATGTGCATTTTTTATATAAATATTTTAAAGTTGTGAAAAGTTCAGTAAATTGATATATGAAGTAAGTAGCGGCTAGCCTCTATTAACTTCTTTTTAAACAGTTTATTATTTATTGGTATTTAAACCATCAAATTCGTATCTTCATAATTGAATACCCAATGGATCTGAAAATTGTAGGGTAACTGGTTTAAGAATACCCAATTAAATAGAACAAATACCCAATTACAAATGAAATGATGGAGCAATACCCAATTCATTTTCAAAGCTTATCTGTTGCTCTGCATATCACAATAGTCAATACACTGTTACAAAAAGTTCTATAGGATATGTTTCAATACAATTCAATTCTCATTGCTAAAATACAAGTAAAAAACCATTTAATTTCAAAAGCCTTTGTACGTTATTACTTAACATTTGTTGAACTTGAAACAATTTAACTTATGTTTTAAGCTTTTACATTAATCAAGAGAATCGAATGTCAAGAAATAATTTGAAATAACGTGAAATAAAATATTTATTCATCTCAATTTCACAAAGTAAGATTTAAGACCCATAACTGCCATTAACTGGTACATGGATTTTGACAGAATTATGGCCTTTTTAAAACATTAAAAATTCTACATTATCTTAGCTCTTGTTTTACTATCAAGCACTGAGAATAATTGATGAACACCCTTCTTCCTTTGCCTCATGTTGTTTTACCAAACTCTTTATTTTTATGTGCAGACAGAGTTACATATAGGACAGCATCAAGATTACGACTGGAGGATTGATTGTTGTTAGTTAATCAGTTATGCAGCAAGATGTGGAGAATCTACCTATTGATATACACTTCAATAAATTACTCGGTATGTATCTAACTTAACTATACACTTCAATAAATTACTTGGTATGTATTTAACTTAACTATACACTTCAATAAATTACTTGGTATGTATCTAACTTAACTATACACTTCAATAAATTACTCGGTATGTATTTAACTTAACTTTACACTTCAATAAATTACTTGGTATGTATTTAACTTAACTATACACTTCAATAAATTACTTGATATGTATTTAACTTAACTATACACTTCAATAAAATACTCGGTATGTATTTAACTTAACTATACACTTCAATAAATTACTCGGTATGTATTTAACTTAACTATACACTTCAATAAATTACTCGGTATGTATTTAACTTAACTATACACTTCAATAAATTACTCGGTATGTATTTAACTTAACTATACACTTCAATAAATTACTCGGTATGTATTTAACTTAACTATACACTTCAATAAATTACTCGGTATGTATTTAACTTAACTATACACTTCAATAAATTACTCGGTATGTATTTAACTTAACTATACACTTCAATAAATTACTCGGTATGTATTTAACTTAACTATACACTTCAATAAATTACTCGGTATGTATTTAACTTAACTATACACTTCAATAAATTACTTCATATTACTTGGTAATATCTTTTAACTGAACTTGAAACTTTACTGTCATTAAGTCAAGTAGGCATAAACACTGTCTTAATTATGCAACTCCTACAAAGTGGTGGTGTTAGTAGTTTTCACTCTGGATCACAGCAGTAAGCCACATTGAATTTACCAGAGCACAGTTCAGCCACCGCATCGTTCCTGGGCAGGCTGTCAAGCAGTTTACCAGTACTAGTTGCTTTCACTTACACAATGAACTAAAACTTCTGTACATACCAGAGCAGAGGTACAGTGCAGAAAATATTTATCGTGACCTGCACAGTCTAGGAATCAAACCAGAGTTGTCTGATTCACAGGCCAACACTCTACCTATTGAGCTAACCGGACAGCTTCAACTCCTACCAATCTCACAGTATTTCACTTTCACTAGAAGTGTTGTCATTAAATGCCCTGGTGCATATTGTTAGAGTTTATGATTTGATCATTTCTGACAGAATTATCATTTATGACCCTTTGTTTTATTTTCACACATGTATTATATACAGAAGTATTTTTCTGTGTTCAGTAGTGTCATGGTGCAAATTTCCATGGCTTAAATATTATTTAATTATTTTATAGGGAAGTTAGGTCCCTTTGTTGATTGTTTTCATATGTTATATAATAGAGAGTCTGAATTGTGAAAATTCCTGCTTATTTTAATTGATAAGATTAAAATGTTTCTGGTACCATGAACTGACTATAGATTAATAAAGTAGTAAATTTTAGTATCTTCCAGAATTATAACTATGTGAAATTCCTGTAGGTGATATTTTGGTAACATTTGATCTTACATTAAGTCTAATATCATTTCAAATAATTTCTGGGTTTGGTGGAAAACATGTTATGTCTCTATTTCTTTCTATGAGTTACACACTCTTTTACACCAAATATAAGTAATTAATGTAAATTTTCTCATTCAAAAGTTCATTCTTGATGGTAGGTATTTTTCTTATTATTAGGTAGTAGACAGTTGATATATTTTTCTTGTTATAGACTGGCTAGTAGATCGTCGTCACTGCAAACAACAATGGCAGGCAGCTTCACTTATTGTACGGGAGAAGATAAATGCAGCTTTACAGGACATGCCAGAAAATGATCAACTTGCCAAACTACTCGAGGGAACATGTAAGATTGTTGACAGATTCTTAATCCCTTACTATGCTAAGTGGACTTTTAAATGGACTTTTTTTCCAGTCTGGACAATATCATTAAATTTCAGGGATTTTTTCCAGGATTTTAGGAACATGACCCATTCCCATGGAATTGGGAATTTCAGCGAAGTTTTGTTAAAAATTGGGGAAAAAATTGCATGACTGAAATTTTACAGTGATTATGTGGATGCAAACAATTACTGTCTGGGATGGCATCTTCAAAGATTTATTACAGTGAAGAGGCCCTTATTTTCAAAGATTTTATAATTTTTAGCTCGACTATTGGAAGAATAATCGAGCTAATGCAGTCACCCATTTGTCGGCGTCGGCGTCCCTGTGGTTAAGTTTTTGCATGTAAGCTGGTATCTCCATAACCACTGAAGGGAATGGATTGAAACTTCACACACTTGTTCCCTGTGACTATCTAAGATGATTGGCACAAGTCCCATAACTCTGATTTGCTTTTTTACATAATTATGCCCCTTTTTCGACTTAGAAATTCTTGGTTAAGTTTTTGCGTGTAAGCTGGTATCTCCATAACTACTGAAGGGAATGGATTGAACTTCACACACTTGTTCTCTGTGATTATCTAAGATGATTGGCACAAGTCCCATAACTCTGATTTGCTTTTTTACATAATTATGTCCCTTCTTCGACTTAAAAATTCTTGGTTAAGTTTTTGCGTGTAAGCTGGTATCTCCATAACTACTGAAGGGAATGGATTGAAACTTAACACACTTGTTCCCTGTGATTATCTAAGATGATTGGCACAAGTCCCATAACTCTGATTTGCTTTTTTACATTATTATGCCCCTTTTTCGACTTAGAAATTCTAGGTAAATTTTTGCTTGTTAGACGGTAACTACTGAAGGGTTTGTACCTTTTCGGACAATTTTATGTATTCATATAGGTAAGCATTATTATACTCAATGAAACACCCTTGTGCATCTATGCTGGCAACAACGGCTCATCCTAGCAGATTAACAGTTAATAAAAAAAAAATAATTATCAGTTTGATTATACATTCTACTCAATGGCACAATTTGGTTATAAAGATGTGTAACAGGTTATATGGCCATGTATTAACAGCTGTAAGTTTACTTCATCTAAGCTATACAGCATGGGTTATGCCTTTTCACAGTGTCACAACTGGTCAGATTACCAGACCCGTTCCAAATGGCAAATATGCTTATTTTACCCAAACAAACTAAAATTATTGATATTAGAACTGACAAATTTGCTGATGTTCCCATATGTTTCATTGTCAAATTTTACTACATACTCACTATACTGCACACTTACTTTTTTTGATTAAGATAAAAAAAAATGGCTTTCTACATTTTATTTATTAGATTATTTATAAAGATTTCTGACAGGTTTATATGGCCATATGATAATAGTTTGTTTGCACATATAGTACCAAGGGTTATATTTCTGTATATTTAGACATCAATTATTTCCACTGTGTGAAGATCATTGATATACTGAAAGGGACAGCTGCAGGAGAGAAAAATATATTTGGTCAATATTCATCACAGAAAATGAAAGACTGGAACGACATCATTAGAATTTATGAAAAAGATTGCATGTTTCTGGGTAGGTAAAATTTACCTTTTAACAAAATATTTCTAGAAAGTCTCAGTTGTTCTTTTATTTTTGGCAGGGTTTTATGTTGCCCTAACACAGAATATGTCATATGTCTATGTAAAGGAAGACTCAAGGTGACTCTCTGTGCATTATTGTAGACACAAACAGGTAGCTGAGTAGAACCACACAGTTTCTGTTAGCTAGTTGGATAGCTTCCTCACATGGAAGAATTCAGAGTCCCTGTCAGAACCCTTGAGTTACATTTTTATAGAGTTATGGCCCTTTTCTTACTGTCAAGCACTGAGGATTATCAAGCACGCTGTCTAGGAGCAACTCTTTTTTATCCTAAAATAGAGATTGAAGAAGATTCCCTATGTTTAAACTATGATAATGTTAATACTGTATATATCTTGTATATATAAATGAGGATATTATATTGTAGCTGAGACAGCACAGATGTTAATGAGGAATGTAACATATGAAATACCAGCACTGAAGAAACAGATAGCTAAATGTCAACAAGTTCAGAAGGTAAACCATGTACATTTATATTATTTTGATTTTCACGCTTAGGGTAGCAGTTTTTCTTTTAACAAACATGCTGAAACCCTATTGAATTTGTGTAATAAGATTGCTATTTCATGAATTTGGAATGTTTCCTTACAAAACTTATCAGCAGACAGTATAAGACAGCCTGAAATTTATATACCAGTATTTGCATCAATTAAAAATTAGGTCACCCCATATCAACCACTGTCCAGAGAGTGAATGTCATTTAGTTGTTATAAATTTTGGCTATTTGTCAAAGTTTCTTAGTAAAATTTGGAATGTCAGTTATATGCATGTCATTTTTGCTTGTCTGTTTCAAATATTATGATTATTGTTGTCAAGCAAAAACTTTGATTTAGGCCATTACTCAAGCAATTTTAAAAGTTTCTATATGAAGAGGTAGTTGTAAGACAAGGGGCATAATTCTGGAAGCTATATTTTTGGAGTTATGGCCTTTCTATTAGTTAGAATTTTTGTCAAAGTGGTAATTTTAAGAGACAAGTATTTACACACATGCAGTGTTTATGTTTTAGCTTTATTATTTCTTAAGGACTTAAATATAAATTTAGTGAAAAAATTTATTACCTTTCTTTAGATGAATATGATATGTAACAAGGATATTCACAAATAATCAGTGTCAGAAAAATATATTCATCTTTTGTGGCTATATAAACAATAATTTTACAATGCAGTGTATCAATAAAATATGAACAGATATCATTGTGATTTGTAAATATTTGTAATGATAACTTATATACATTATATAAAGGTATTTTAGGTATAATATTTAACTAGGAGATATGATATTTTACAGGAATGTGATAAGAAAGAGACAGACTATGTTAACAAGGCTGCTGAACTTAGGAAGAAATACAGTAATAGTTGTAAAGAACTTGGTATTAAAGTAAGTTTTATGTCTTAACCCATTACTTCATGAGCATTTTGTGAAAAATGGCTGTTTTCATTGAAAAGTCTCTCGTTACAAGTTCAAATTGCTATAATACTATAAAAACTGCTTCAACACTAATCAAACTTGGCACAAATGTTGACTGGACCATTGCCCTTGCAACAACATGCTCAGGCTTAAATTTTATGTTACCATGGCAACGAGGGGACATCTCAAAATTGCCAAAAATCACTATTTTGCGTTGATTTTTTCCATCAAAATTGATTTCAAAGTGCTGCAACTTCTCAATGGATTGAGATAGAGTCAAATGCTTTTCAGCGTTGGTTACATGTTACCTTATGATCAATCTGGGGTCATTTACAGCCTCTCACAAGTCCAAAATTTTCTTGGCGATGAGGGGGACTCCGCCCCCCTTCAAACCCCCCAAACAGAAGGGGGCACATCCCCCTTCTGGCAACCCCCTGGTGTATCTTTTGGTTGGGGGGCCGCCTTGAAAAAGAGGTCACTTTTTTTAACAACATTTCTCAAACAAAAACAAGTGTTTGCGGCCTAAATAAGGCATTTTTTCATCATTTGAGACAACAGAAAGGGGGGGGGGGGGGGGAAAAAGGCGTTAAAAGGCGTGTATATGAAGTAATGGGTTAACACAGATAATTAGTAAATATGTAACCCAATCTTGCAAATTAGCATAGAAGGAGCATGTATTATAAAGTGGTTTAGAAAAAAGAAAATGAAAAAATATAGATAGGGAGGTCAGCGAATTTCACCCATAAATATTCTGTGAAGGGGCCAATGTCAGCTGGTTAAAAATCAAGGAGACAAAAAGGGCAGCAAATGTTCCTGGGCAATAGTTAGCCAATGTGGTTGCTACAAGTCAAAATATTATGCTACCTGTGATGCCTTTATAGAAATACTTAATGTTGAACATTTAACTGTACTCACCAATCCTTTATATATGATGTTATTCCAGGGAGACAAAATAAAATCAGAGTTATCTGCTCTTGTACAAGATTTACCCAAAGTGTTTGATGAAGTAGCTGTCCAGGCACAGAAACTAAATGGTGCTGTAAAATACTATCAGGATTTTAGAAGTTTTCTTCTGAACAGGTACATGTTTGTTTATTCTATTGTAGTTTGGTTTAGCTATACTCAGTCTGGTTTAGCTATACTCAGTCTGGTTTAGCTATACTCAGTCTGGTTTAGCTATACTCAGTCTGGTTTAGCTATACTCAGTCTGGTTTAGCTATACTCAGTCTGGTTTAGCTATACTCAGTCTGGTTTAGCTATACTCAGTCTGGTTTAGCTATACTCAGTCTAACTTATAAACAGTCAGCCTACTGGTATATCTAACCATGAGACAAGTGACAATCAAAGTAGTCTGAACTGTTCACTACTCATTCAGAACATATTCTGAAATTTCCCCTAACAATGGTGAATGATAGTGCCAAATTGTAAGATGGATAAGACTATTTCAGATATTGAGCTTGGTAAGGGTTATGATAACCAGCAAGCAGTATGTCTAGGTACCAAAATGTGGTTACATATTAGAAATAACAAGGCTTTCATTGTCTACAAATTTCTGATATATGTAGCTTATATTATCTTTACCATGAAACTTACAACTTACTGAAACAAAAAAAAAGAATCATCTGCAGAAATTTGTAAAAAAATGTAAAACCTCATTATTTCTACATGTAGAAATTATTGACATTGTATAATTATGTTATGAGATACAAAGATGTTGACTATATACATGTATGCAAACTGTTGGAACAATATATAGGCTGACTTGCTCATATATGTATAGTATACATACCCTGCTATTAGCATCAGCAGTCTCAGTGAGCAAAGTTGATGTATAACTTTTTCAAAACCAGTATGATTTAGGAATTTCAAAAATATAATACTTTTTGAAATGTTCATTATTTTTTACATGATTTACTGAACTCCCCCAATTTTCGACAGATCTACTTTTTAAGGATGAAACTGTTTAAAGAAATTCTAGTAACATTTAAGTAGAGTTGGAATTGTTAATTTAAATTGTTATATTTTCAGTACTGTACAGGACTCAGACTGTGTTCCTGTATTGAGATATATTCAGCAGAAAGGTAATACAACAACATATGAATGGAAACATGGCTGTAAACCAGTCCATGTAGAGAATTCTCGTGTTGTCATAGATACAAAAGATGAAGAAGATGTTGTAGTAGAAGATGGAGCTGATGTAAGTATACTGTAGTGTTTAATGTCAGCAAGATATTCCAGTATTGTTTATCTGTGGATATTAGACAGTTACAGAGAGCGTCCTTACAAATTATGGACAAACTTAAAACAAGAAGTCCAAAGTGCCTTTCAGATATGAAAACAAACTAGGATGTACAGAAAATTTTTATTTTCAGTGTAGCATTAAGTATTTTAAAAAATGTTTTTCATGATATTATATATTATAATTTCTTGAATAATACTTGAATGATAATCAGAAAAAAAAACTGAATAAAGAACTCTAATATACATGTATATGAAGATACACAACTGTGTATGCTGAGTGATTATGGTAAATAAGACTGAGAATTTTTCAGTGATTTTTCTGTGTTAACCAATCTATAGTTTCATTTCAATATAACTATAATAAAGGTACTTATGTGTAGACAATCAATTTCATGTAAGCCTTTAGCTTATTACTCAGTACTGATTGTAATATATATGTATCGTCATTTCGTATGGAAAATATGAAAGAAAAAATAAATATTGTTTAGACCATAAGATCTTTATATTTAGATTGACTGGGGTGATTTAAATGGAACCAATGAAATTAACCAAGAAGCTGAAATTGACTTTGATATATCAGGAATTACAATAGAAAGTGGAGGCACAGATGAAGCTAAGGTATAATACATAAAATACAGGTTTATATTGTTCTATTATAGTCTTTAATTGTTAATTTAAACAAATACTGTCTAGTTTTGTGATAAAATTCTGTTGCAAATTATAATATTTTATACTATGTTTTTTTCCGTGTTATTTCTTGTAATTATGTAACTATGTCAAATCCATCATCTTAATTATTTGTAATTATTTTGTATGTTTTGTACATGTACTTTTTTTACATAATTTAATAACAGTTTCTATGTTAGATATAAAACGCCAATCATAAAACTTGGTGAAAAACATGTAAAAATTTTATACCAATAAATGGTATACATGCACAGTGAGTTAATCGGATTGCAGGTATTAGTTACCCGCACTCCAGAGCATGCCTGTTGATTGGCTCATTTTTTCAGGAGTTTACTTATTGTGACGACAGAGAAAGGGATAGCTATAGAAATATTATATTCAAATGCTCGTTTATTGGTTACCGGTACTTTTTTCTGGGGTTTCATATTGTGACAACAGGGAACATGTTTGTATTTTTGCCTATGATACAAAAGAGAAAGAACATCAAACACCCGACAATCTGATTTATACATTGGCCGTAGCCCCCTCATACAAATCAGATAGCCTTGTGTTTCGCTGTTCTTTCTATTACATGTATTTTTATTGTACATAGATTGTATGTGTTGTGCATGTTTTCAGAGTGGTTTAGATATCGAGGTAGAGCAGATGGGTGAAGAGATTGATTGGGGAGATATAGAAGTAGAATCTTCACAGAAATCATCTGGTAATTATATCAATATATTTCTGTATTTTGTGAAAGTCAATAGTAATCACAAATCTGATAGTCATGAACAAAACTCTTGAATTGGGTATTTTAATCACTTTCTTTGGGTTAGAAGCAACCCACTTCTTTGTGTTAGAAGCACATATAAGGCACAAGGCATCTTTTTGATCATTTCATTTTGTTACAACATGAATCTCAAATCAAAAGTAATGTTGAATGCCTAAAAACTAAACTTAACTGCTTAAAGGAACTTCAATGAGGTTCAAAAGCCTAAAACAGGGAAGTTGAATTTTGTATTTAGATCGACTATGATACTTAAAACAAAAAGATATAAAAAGAATATTAAGAATCCACTCATAAAAAAATGAAAATCGTATTTTACTCCTGTCCTTAAAACCCAATGTGACGCATGTTTTTCAATTTTTAGTCAATTTTCATAATCATAATAAATATTCTAGAAAAATGTATTGAGAGCATGATCTGAATTTTTGAACACAAGTACTTGATCTAGACCTACAACAATTGGAACATTTATCAAAAAAAATAATTTCCAGTCCCATTAATTAAAAAAACCTTGGTGGAGTCCTTTTAAGATACATGTATTGACATTTGAAGTACGAGTTGAAAATGTCATCTTAAGTATTTACTTATATCAAATGTTATATTAATGTTGTTATAACCCTTATACTGCAGACTTGGTGAAATAGATTTACCAGGCTTAGTACTAGTTGCAAAAGCTAATCATTTATGCTTCCAGTGTGGTTAAGGTAAATTCGGTAATTTTGACTTTATTAAAATTATTTTGAAAAGAATTGTAATTGTGAAAAATCATCATTAGGGTTTTAAGAAAATATAAAAGACTTTATGTTTATATCTTCATTATTTTGGTATGTTTGATTATTTTAGATGAAGGTACAGCTTCTGGTGAGGAAGCTCTGACATTACTGGATAATCCAGCAGCTAGGAATCTTTTCTTAGATGATCTGTTTGAGGTATGTACCTTACCTTGTACATGTAGAAATTCCTTGTAGAATAATGGCTGTGATCAGCCAGCATATAGATGGTTTATCTAGCTGTTAATGTTTCATTTTTAGCTTAACTATTCAAAGAATAGGGAGAGGTGTTGTTCTTGCCCTGGTGTCTGCCACAGTCACACTTTGGTTAGCTTTTGCATGCAAGTTGTAATCTTAAAAGCATAATAGGAGGTCGCTTTCTGAGGCCTGTAACTCTATCATGAATTTTTACAGGATTATGACCCTTTTTTAAAACTTACAAAATTCTACATTATCCATGCTCTTGTTTCAATGCTCTTGTTTTATTATCAAGCAGTGAGAATAGTCTAGTCTGTTGTCTTACGCAAGCTCTTAATTCTTTGTAAAGTTGTGTTTTATAATTAATACAAGAATACATTTTCAAAAAATTGTAAATATGTCATAAATTACCTAGGGTAGTTGTTTAACAAATATGTTAAATAGATTATATTGAAGCACAGAGATGGATATTTTTTATCATGCTGGTTACTATTGTTGAGATATTTTTAAGCTATAACTATTAATGTATGAATATTTCAGTTGGAAGCATTTTTAAGTCAGCGTATATCAGAGTTAAGTGTAGAAGGTAATGTTCTCTCATCTAGTCAGTTTCAAAATGCACCAGCTGGTATACAAGTAGAGGGTAAACAAGTAGAAACCATGGCAACAGATTTAAGTGCTGTGATTGGTCAATTAACATCAGTACAGATACAACACCTCATGCTGATCAGAGATTCTCCAAGGTAAGTTTGATAGTTTATTGTTTCATTAATGATTGATTAGCCCTCACCAGCTGATTTTATGGAATGGAATTGTCCTGCTTTGAAATGGGAACAGTCTGTTTAAGTTAAAGTGATTTCAATTAAAAAATAAATGAGGTACCAACAGTATAGAGCCTGGTCATACTGCACTGATGTGCAGGACAGCCAGTATCTATACTGGTAGCAAAGGCTTTGGTTCCAGCAGGTTAAAGGTTTAAGCTACTGTTTGGGTTTTGCAGCCGTGACCGGTCTGCTGTAATTGTGGCAGCTGAACTTTTGTTTATTGATGAATGAGTATATTTCTATGAGGAATATTTACTTTGCCATTTCTTCTCCAAAATATACCTTGATGTTAGAATGGAAATAGATATAATTTTTTCTTGCATTATAGTATAATAATGCAGGGTTTATTGTTCTAATGTTTTGTAATTAATCACTCGGGCCTATCACTCTTAGTGATTTTATTCCTGTGCATTTGAACTTGAACCATACATTATTCTACAAAGTTGCACTCAAAATTGACATCCTTTTCCTAAACACATGAGTCGCGTCACGACAAAACCAACGTAGTGCGTTTGCTACCAGCATGGATCCAGACCAGCCTGCACATCCCTGCAGGCTGATCAGGATCCATGCTGTTCGCTATCAGTTTCTCTACTTGTAATAGAGTTGGTAAGCGAACTGCATGGATCCTGATCAGACTGCATGTAGGCGCAGGCTGGTCTGGATCCATGCTGGTCGCAAACCCACTATGTTGGTTTTGTCATGGCGCAGCTCATATTTGGTATTAAAGGTATTAAATGAAAAAACTAGGAAAATGGAAATAATATTTGTTCTATATCTCATCCATGGTTGATGTCTTCAAAAGCAAAATAAATACTAACAACTCAATGTTTTTAATTTATTCAGGTATGTAGAGAGATTGAAGGATACACTAAAATCAACATTGAGTTTAGCAGATAAGATGATATTTTACGAGAAGGAGACAATATCTCGCAGACATGATATGGAAACGGAGGAGAGAGATCTCATCCCTAAATTAGATGTTCTTGTTAAACGTACCAAAGAAATGCAGAAACAGGTTGGTTCATGTTTCCTATGATAATTTATGTACTAGCTTGTTTTGATTTGATAAGCTAAAACACTTTAACCTGTAATCTGGGACCAAAAATGATAAATAATATGAATATTTTTATGCTCCCCGAAAAATTTCGGGGGAGCATATAGTCGGCGCCTTGTCTGTCTATCCGTCCGTCCGTCCGTTGTCTTGTCCGGAGCATAACTTGAAAACCCTTGGAGATAATTTGTTGAAACTTCATACAGTGGTAGAGGGCATTGAGGGGGAGTGCAGTGTCAAAGAACCATAACTCTATTTTGCCCGGTTTTTGAATTATCTCCCCTTATAGAAAAATCTTGTCCGGGGCATAACTCTAAAACTATAAGAGATATCAACATGAAACTTTGTAGGCCAATAGATCTCAATGGGTAGATGTGCAGTGCATAAGAAAAATAACTCTTTTTGTCCTAATTTTGGAGTTATTGCCCTTTGTTAATTTTAACACTTTGAACTTTGTCCGGAACATAACTCTAAAACTATAAGAGATATCAAGATGAAACATTGTAGGTAGATAGATCTCATTGAGTAGAGGTGCAGTGCAAAAGAACCATAACTCTGTTAAGCTTATTTTTGAATTATCTCCCCTTTTAGAAAAACCTTGTCCAGGACATAGCTGTAAAACTATAAGAGATATCAACATGAAACTTTGTAGGTAGATATATCTCAATGGGTAGATGTGCAGTGCACAAGAATCATAACTCTGCCGTGCCTAACTCTGGAGTTATTGCCCTTTGTTTATTTTTACCTTTTGAAGTTGTCCGGGACATAACTTGGAAATCATAAGAGATATCATCAAGAAACTTTGTAGGTTGATAGATCACATTGATTAGAAGTGCAGTGCAAAGAACAGTAACTCTGCCTTGCCTAATTTTGGAATTATTGCACTTTAACTCTGAAACTACAAGAGGTGTACTTTCCTGTGTCCAAAACCTATTCGGGGAGCATCACCCGGCTCAAACCAGGCTCTTGTTTATCCAAGCTGTAACCTGTATTTTCTATATTGGAAACAGTCAATTGTATGCTTAAAGATTTTACTAACAAATATCTGCTACAAATACTATCTGTTTTTACAGTAGATAATATATAATAACTGAATTTTAATGATACATTTTACTAAGTATTATAAAAGGAATGCAATAGTTTTACTTAACCACAGTAAATATGTTATACAAACTTTTCGGACAAAACCATTCATCATTTTAGTTTGTTTGTTTGTTTAGGTTTTATGTCACATCAACACAGAATAGGTCATATCGCTACATTCCAGCTTTTTTTTACTGGTGGAGGAAGACCTCAGGTGCCCTTCCGTGTATTATTTCAGGCACAAACGGGCACCTGAGTAGAACCACCGACATTCCGTAAGCTAGCTGGATAGCTTCCTCACATGAAAGAATTTAAAGCCCGTCGGGATTCGAACCCACAGCGGTGAGGGGCAAGTGGTTTGAAGTCAACGACCTTAACCACTCAGCTACGGATGCCCCAACTTCATCATTTTAGGGAAAATTATAAAAAGCACAGACTGAACAATGAACAAGGCATATCATGATCGGGCGGCACAGATAATACGGACTGATCTTGGTATGTTTAGTTTTAGTACCAGCATGTTAAGAGTTAATAATTTAAATTATTTTCTATTACAGATGGAAGGTGAAATATCTAAGCGATATAAGAACAGACCAGTTAATATCATGGGAGAAATCAACACTATTTGATGATAGAATTATAATACAGTGGTGAACATTTTATCGAAATTTAGTACCAGCAGATTATATTAATTATATAAGCAAAGAAGAATTTTGTTGACAGTGAAATAATATCATAGTGTAATTAGATACTCATTTGTTTCACAAAATGGGGAAAAATGGGTTTAAAACGAAATCAAAAGTTTGATAATATCAAACCATAAAATCTGTGTCTTAAGTAGTTACAGTGAAGGAGATTTTTTCTGTAAAAAAAATGAATACATGTATATCTATATGAATTGATATAGTAATTTCTGAGAGACTTGTGATCGCCAGGGTTGTTATTAGAGCAGGGCCTATGATACAAAAGTACATTTAACAGCTATAAGTGCTGCCATCTTGTTGTTGGTATAGAGGTTTAAGTGTCTGCAGGCAGACTGAAAATATTCTTTGATATTGATTCCTTAAGGCAATGGAATTCACTAGCAAAAATATATTCCAAATATGTTTTAACCAATATTATTAAAACAACATTATCTTTCTTTCATTATTATTTGTTGGATGATTTCATTGGTAATAAATATTTTATCATACACATTTCTGCATATGATATTGAATGGATACATCATGTTAATGAAATGAAATCAGATTCCTAAGATTTTTTAATTAACACTATTTGTTTAAGGAAAATTTGTTTTGGTGTTTTTTTTTAGGAATTTTTAAGTTTTTGTTGGGATGATCTAAAATGCTCAAAGAATGTGGCAATTTGGTGTAAATACATTTATTTATCTTAATTATTTACAATAAAATTAATGTTAATAAAAGATGAGATGCAATTTTGGTGCATGGGAAAATGTTTTGTTTCTATCTTTTGTTATATTCAGATATTTTAATTTATTGAAATGAAGAATAAAACATTTTAACTATACTAAAACCATGTATCTGTTATCGAATCTAAAATCACCAGCTGACTAGAAAATATCTTCAGCTGCCTTTGAGAGTAATAACCCCTGCTGGTAAACTATAAAGGGAGATCTTCAACTGGTGTAGATGCCCAATAGACATGAGGCTGGAGTATTTGTGACATTGACCTTGTACGATTATTATATAAGGTTTATAATGTTGCGTTAGTTTCTGCTGTGTGCTTAAAAAATGTATTACAATGTAATTGGTTATATAAACCACAAGAAAATTTAAAGAAATCTTATGTACAAATTTGACAAGAGAGTCTGTCAATAAGGATCCATACTTAAGAATTATTTTGTAATGAAACTTTGCATGTTTATGAATAACAGAACAAGCACACAGTCAGCCTGCCTATATACTGGTAACGTAAGCGAACATTTCAAGTGCCAACAAACTTGAACCTATAATATCAAGACTGTGAACTTACTAAAGTGCATGTCTGCTATTAGACAATTTAACTTTGTCCATGCTTAGTTTACTAGGGTGTTAGATATAATAAAATTATTTGGAAATAATAAAACAACAAAACAAGTCACTATATTGAATCATTTACTTAATACTACATTAACGGAAATGAATATCACAGTTGAATTTATCCATATAATGTTGATACAAAACAATAATCATTTATACTTCACTGAAACACTCATCTCAAACAAAAACATTATTTACACTCTTTCTTTTTACCAATTAAATGTCCGTTATACTTATAAATAAAATAACAGTTAGTAAAAAGAATATAATTATTTTTATTTAACTTTTGGCAAATTATTGGGAAATGTGTTTAGACCTTGACCCAATGGTGGAGTGACAACCTGGAAGTTAATTTCTGCTCATTGTATTATGGTGGTGGTCATTTGTGCCAAGTTATTTTAAAAACATTTTATCAATTTAAAAGTTATGGAGCCAACACTTAAATGTGACCAAGATATGGTCAGACACACAAACAGACGATGCCCTTCTAGCTATATGGCAGGAGATTAATAAATAAAATATAATGATGAATTTTCCTGAACTTACCGGTAATATTTGACCTTGAATATCAAGGCAATTCCGAAATTGCATGGGCATATTTTTTCAATATTTTAACACCATGATCTACAATCAGTATACATGTACAACACTACAGTACAATAAAGAGCCAGGTGAGGATAATTAAAAACAATCACATTCATTCAATTAAAAAAAAGTGTAAATAATAATGTGAAAGCAAGGTTAATTCATATCTGTTTAAAATTGAATCTATAATTAATAATTTTACCTCTCAATTAGAGTACATCATACAGATAAAAAAAATAACAGAAGATGAAATATTGGTAAAAAGAAAACAAAATACTTTCCCCTATCAAAAGCTGTCCATGCATCAGCTCAAGATAAGCAAAGTGTGCCTAAAGGACACTTATAACCCCACTCCATTTGCTGTTAACAGTGGCATATTTACATACTTATGCATATATTATAAAAGTCAGGTGTTAAATTTGAACAAAATTTTGACAGAGGAATCTCTTGTTCATGATTAGACTAGTATTTCATGCTTAACTGAGATCCTGACCTTATGACCTCCAATCAATAGGGGCCTCATATAGGAAATGTTCAGACAGTTTGACACACTTAGAGGTTATTGATAGGACAAAGAATTTATACAATATTACTATGACCTGTGACAAGTCATGACTTACATCTACACTAAATCATCATAAGATTGTTGACTGAAGTGTTCAGACATAATGGTCAAGGCCCAGGTGACCTTGACCTGCTGACCTTACAATGAATAGAGGTCATCTTTTGGACAGTGTCCTATTAAGCTACATGAATCAACAATCATTCCTTCTATAGTTGTTGATCAGACAGATGACAAGATGATGTGATACGACTACTGACTGACCCATCACAGTACACTCTCACTTTTAAATTAAGGACTTGAAAAAGTTTTCAATAAACTTTAAAATCATAATACTGTAATGTTTAATGTAAATCAACTATGACATCTGTTATTGAATTCATGAAACTACTTCACTATTGTGGAAATAGTACAAATAATTAACTTAAATGAAAAAAAAAATATTTGAACCCTTTCAACAGCATGTATATATAAATAAACTGACATTCAAGACTTTGAATCTTTGTAATGGCAGTGAAATGGAATAATTTACTTTTATCTTAACATAAATAATTAACACTGACAATGGTACAAATTGGTCACAGCAATCTTATTCCCAAAATTAGCATTACTGGTTTGGGAGATAAACTCGGCCGAAAATCGGTGTTTTTGGGGCATATTTCATTTATTTGTTTACGTATCCTGATGAATCTTGCACCATAATAAACTTCAGCTCTTCGATATTCCGGTATCACCATAAAAGTTATATTTAGAAACAAGACGGGTAATTTTGAGAGGCCCTGGAAGAGGTACGTAAAAAGCACATTTTTAACATGCGCGAGTTGATAATTTCGGCTCTTTGTTTTTCTTCTTAAATCATTTTTAATGAGTAAATTAAAACGTAGAATAACATATTTAGACATTTTATTATTCCTCTGCTATTCATATATGTAAAATAAAAAAATATTTTTATCAGAAATTTTCAATAAGGTCTGTTACTTTTATACAATGTTATGTAAAAAAAACAACAACAAAAAACTCAGATAGATCTACTTTTTTTGTAAAAAGACATGCATTTTTCATTTATTAACTTACGAAATATGTAGTTTTAGAATTAGTGATTCAAAAGTATTTTGGCTTTGGTAACTTCGTAATTTAACAGAGTGAAGAAGAAATTATTTCAGTGGTATTCAACCTACACAATAACATATAAAGGAGCATTTAACATCAGTTTTTCAATCCATTGCACTAAAAGATTACATTTGTGATTATTTGTGCAATCAGATTTTTTTCTGAGTTTGCAAGACAAAATTGATTCTAAATTCATCTACAAAATGTATCCGTGAACATCGTCTGCTTTACCGGTAGTCGGTCAATATATAAAAGTAACCCTCTATGGGTCTCAAAATGAGCATCTACTGCGCATGCGTACAGCAATCGGATTTCCCGTACTATTTATAGGCATGTTTTGTAAACAAACGGGTAAATGTCTGTGCTATGTTTTAAATATCTTACCAAACTTGACAAAATTTCCAGATATTGTCAAATTCCAGCGTTCGTACAAGATGGTGAGCTTGATTACATTAAAAAAGCCGATAAGTCGATTAGATAATTAAAAGCCGAGTTTATCAACCAGCCGAAGTTATCTCCCCAACCAGTAATTGAGGATTTTTATTAAAATACTGTTAATGATTTGTAAAAAAAGATTAAAATTAAAATTCCTGACATGAAACTATTCAGTACTATAACATAATCATACACATCACTAACAAATAGAATTATAAATAAAAACTATCAATTTAAAAATACATCTCCTTCAACAACTCTTTGTTTATCTTCTCCTGAAAATAAAGAAATATTATATATGATAAAAAATATGCATTTCTTTTGAAGGGACTCCATTGAGGGTCAACTGGGACATTTAAAGCAGAAAGATATGCAAAAGACAATAAAGAAATATTTTCAGAAATAAATTCAATATGGTATTTTTTGCCATTTTTAGCCTGATTTGAGTGAAAAGTGAAAATGTATATTCTTTATAATTTAAATAATTATTCTCGAAAAACAGAGTGCACAATATTTTTTTTGAAATTTTGCACACTAGGTATGGGTCTAGACCTACATGTAATGGAAGATTAATCTTGAAAAAATTATATCAAGTCTGGACATGTCAAAAAAACTCCCTTAAAGAAATTACATTTATCATGAAAATATTTAAAGTTGTTGTCATCAATGTTTTAAATTATACATGCAATGCTATTGAAAGCGTATTTTCAACTAATGTTTTTTATAAAATATAACAGTTTAATTTTAGTTTATTAAGGATAACTAACCTCCTTCTTCTAAAGAAATATGATAATGCCAGGTGAACTAAAATTGGCCAAACTAGGAAGAAAAATGCTGCTCTACCGGTCCTGTTAGCAAATGGCCCCCAGTTCTGAAATAATACATGATAACTTTTATACAGTAATACTGTATATACATTTCTATTTATAGTAACATTCAATCAACCTAAATATATTACATAAAGACATAAATAAATGTAAGGAAATTGTAACAAAACAGAATTTTTGCCCATATAACATATAGTTCTGAAAAACGAAACCAAGGGCAATAATTCTGCCCTAAAATAATAAAATCCTAAAAATATACACCAGTACTCTTGCTGATGATCATTAAAGGGAACATTTGGTGAAAATCACTGGAGAATATAAATTGGAGTCATGTATTGAGAGGATTGTAACCACCAGCCTACCAACATTCATCAATCTTATAACCATAGTTTTCCATTGGTTAACTTGGTTAAAACTGACTAGGAAGGAAAAAATTTGACAATTTTTGTGAATTATCCAGTATTAAAATTATTCTTATCTAAAGAATAATGTGTGAATAAAATCAGTTTAAAACTGTCATTTTACAATTAAATAAGTATGATTTATGCTTGATCAAATCATATTCAGATGAACATAAACAAACAACTGACATTTAAAAATACTTACAAATATTGAGCTACTCTGAGATGACTCATTTTTCTAAGAAAAAATATAAAATACAACATTTGAAAATAAGCATTAAAATCTTTATACAAGTTTAACATTAAAGGAACTCCAGTGAGGTCAAAAAGCCTAAAAACATAAAATTTGAAAGCCTTACATAGAACAGCTGGGGCACAAGTTATTGGTCTAGACCTACATCTAATCCAGGAAGTTATTTTTAGTCTCAAGATATTAAAAAAAAACCTCAGTGGAGCCCTTTAACAAGTTTAATATTTCATTCACGTACATGGTTGATACATTGTGTACCTTTCATTACTATTACATACCTTGCACCACATATATTATGCCTCTGGTGACAGTATTTTCCTTGGTATGATATTTCTACTGTTACCCACAAACCCATGTGTTATTTATATATTATCAGAGCTATTATTTATTGTATTAGAGACCTTCCAATTCACTTTAAATAGATGTCTTACAATCAAAGTAAATAGCATCATAAAAAAACCTCATCATTACTCCTCTATGAAAATAATATTTGAAATACATGTACCTTTTTCTTATAATGAAGTTCAAACAACTTGTAAACCTTCACTATTTGGTATTTGTCAAGAAGGAATCCTCTTTGTTTTAAAACTCTATTGAGGCTAAATATTCAATGTCATTGAAACAAGTACTTAAAGAAAAATGTAATTTATATTTATAATGGCTGGCCAGATGAACTTGTTTGTAACTTTTGTGTTGTATAATATAAGCTTCCTATATTTCCATGTACCTGCAGACACCAAGGCTATCAAAAAATGTGCTTATTTGCTATAATCGTAAATCATTCATGCAAGTAAAGACGTAACAGTTCTTACGCCTCCGTGGTCGAGGGGTTAGAGTCGATGACTTCTAATCCAGTTACGTCTCTGGCGTGGGTTCGATCCCCGGGAGATGCTTTGGTAGTTTAGCACAGAGGAAGGTAGTCTAGTACTGGTGTAACTCTCCAGGAACAATGGTTAGGAAACTACCTGCCTATATGACTGAAATACTGTTGGGAAAAGGCGTAAAATGAAACAAACAAACAGTTCATACTAGTAAAATACATAAATAAATAGAGGATATTTGTAAAGTTAAGTGTAAGATTGGAATATATTTCACCAAGTGAGCACCAAAAGGTATATTTCACGAGTGGCGCAGCCACGAGTGAAATATGAACTTTTGGTGTTCACAAGGTGAAATATATTTCGATCTTACACTAAACTAAACAAATTTTCTTTGAATTACATGCAAAGAAACGTTTTAAAAAGACATTAAACCTAATACTGAATGAAAAAGCGCGCCAAATAATAATACAATGTGACGTCATTTACGACGTCACGTCATTAAGTTGGTACCCAGTACTGTGCACGCTGGTATTTCACTGAAACACATTAGGGGCTTAAATTTAAAACAGTGAAATTATCAAAGTGGTAATTTCACTGTTTCAAACAGTGAAATTACCAGTTTTATATCACTGATATATTTCTATAAACCACCGAAAAGCATGTAATAAAAGTAAGTCTTTTTTTTACTTGTTAAAATTTTCCAGCAATATTAACTAAATGATACCAATAGGATCATCCTAAGCTTTCTAAATAGATGAGAATGACATTATATAAAATACCTGTCTTTGTTTTGTGTTTGCCTCTAATCTGTTAAGTCTATCTAGAACATTTGCCATATCTTGTTGTAATCTGACTAGAACTGTAGTTATTTGCTCGTTAACGTCTCCACCACTTTCTAGGTTCAGGTTCTGCTCCCCATTCCCTCCCCCTCCACCTGCCCCGCCCCCAGGCAGTAATGCTCTTCTTCCTCCAGTACCCTGTAGATTTGTTCTAGATGATCCTTTAAAATATAAAATTTATATGTGTCACTTACATGTATAACACAAACCGAGCCTGCAACATTTTCAATTTTGCCGTGTTGGGCTTTCTTTAGGGATTCTGTATTTATCTATTTTTTAACCACAGTATATAACAAAATCACTGTACTCTGTCTTGCAAGCCTATTTTATTCAATGGCTACCCTGTCTTGCAATGACAGAAACAACTTCTTCTGATCACTGTTCCATACTTGGTAGCTTAGATATTTCAACTTGTACCTTCTTCCCATAACAGCATGTAGACTTAATGTCTATACACTGTATTAATATGGAGTATATAAATGGCTAAAAGTTTAACCCTACACAAAAAGCATATTCCTGTTATAAAATAATTATCTCAATTTTATTTGACCAGTATACCAGTCAATACTATACTAATTAAAGTATTATTTGTGTTACTCAAGTTCTTATTAAAACAGAAAATAAACTGAGATAAGGATTATTTAATATATAAACAACAATGTAATTAAAGCTTATCAACCATTTATTTACTCCTAACATATTCTACAAATGTTAACTTTCTGTCAAATTTTAGTAAAGGCTAGTAGTGGGTGCCAAAGAAAATGTTATTAGATCTTTTGACCCAATCATTACATACATTCTCTAAATAAAAGGCTTTGAATAACTGGGCTATTATGCATGTAAGATGGGAAATCTAAATTGTGTGTATAAATTACACAATCTACATGGGCTAGATAGTGAAATACTCTTTGATGACTATTTACTTGAAAATATAGAATATAAACATGCTGTCACCAATAAATCACAAAGAATATGTTTTGATGACACAAATTTATGTATACTTTACCTGATCTTCTACTGCCTTGACTTGATTTTGAATTTTTTTGTTGACCTTTGTCCCCGCCCTCTGGTGGCTCCTCACCTTCATCAACCACGCCCACAACATTTGAATTATTAGCCGAAACATTTAGAACACTGATATCTGTACTTAAATCCCCATTTTGTTTATTAGCCCTCCCAGCAGAGCTTAATGGTTTACTTGTTTCTAACAATATGTCCTCTTCACCATTCATATTGTTTGATGATATAAAGGGGAAACCTTGAGCAACGTGGACAGTCTCACTGTATGATGATCCTACACCATTCGTGTCTGTAAACCGCACTTTACTCACTTTAGCAGATTTAGCTTGGGCAGTAGTTTGGACTGGCCCATTTGACAATTTGTTTACTCCCAGTATCTAGAATGAAAAAATCAATATGTATAATATGCCAATAAATCAGCTGAATCTGTATTATATTTGGAAGCATATCATATAGTAAGTATATCACAACTTGTCACCTAGTGTGGTAACGGGTTAACTCCTATTAAATTTTTTAAGGAGGAGTTAACCCCTTACTGCACCAAAGTGATGAAATGCTCTGACATCTCCAAATTTTCACAATCAAAAATTCAGCACAAATGGACCATATATATCTTTGATAAGAACAAGACAATAACAATTGTCCACAAGTTAAAACAAGTGATACCGTTAGAATAATATCATTCCATGTAATTCCATTGCTAAAGCATACAATACATTGTAAGTATCAAAACAATGGCTATCTGTACTAGTGGGAACAAATACCTCTAATGTTCCAGTAATTGTATAGTAGTAACTCAGCAGAGGCTTCTTATAGCCTTAAAGAGTTACCCTCTAGCTTCGTATTCCCTTCAGTACCAGCAGCCAGAGTAGATTCTTATATGTTTATTCTAACTTCATTAAAGTTATTGAAACAAATGACATTATAAATGACATATAGGTTTGTGAGTACCAGTAAATACATTATCCTGGGGGAGAAACTGTTACCTGAGGTGTGAGCTGAAGGTAAGAGTATTTTTACGAGGAGTGATATTTTTTGCTGTTACTAACCTATGTGTTATTTTAATTTATCACACTGAACAAATACTACATTGTGAAACTGTTTCTATTTTTTCAGATTTTTACTGTAGAAAAATATTGTTACCTGTCACAAATTTTTTTGTCATATGGTACATTTGAATTAACAGTAATAATAACTCCCATTGGCTTATGGAAAATTTGCATAACAAAAACAGTAAGGGCCAATAATATATTATATATTCACAAGAAGCTAGTATACCTCTAGATCAGCTGAAGTGTCACAGAATTCCTCCTCACTATCACTACTCTGTACAGTGTTACCCTTGCCTTGTATAGTCTCCTCTATATTCTCATCTTCTACATGATTCTCTGATAAATCTCCTGTATATATAATATAATACTGTAAAACACTTATTTTCCGCTAGAACCTTATTTCGCGAATTTGCGGCAAAATGTTCAAAATAATAATTTCGCGTCAACATGAATTTGAGTCTTCCCGAAAAATGTGAAACCGGAAACCCGATGTCATTCGGATATTTTCTGTCCTGTCCGTTCACTAACTTTGCGTCGTTTATTGTGCGACGAATGCATTTATATCTATATCGAATTTTCTGATAGCTTGCTAATCTTCTTGTTAAGTGAAACCGTCTGTCTAAAAATATGTCAATAAAGTTTGATAATTATTTGATATGTGTTCAGTGCGTTTGTCATGTATTGTCCCTGATTATACTCCGTGCCTCTAACATTGTTACTAGTAATTCTAGTATTGAATGTTTCGTATCCCATTCTAGTCTGCCGTACTTCTGTGATGTCTAGTAAAAAGATAACTTTGTTCTTTAAGAGGGCGTCTGTGACTGACAGCGGGCTGCCCGTAACAGAGACACTGATGGAGACTTTAGCCAATAAGTTGGTTGAAGATGCCACTGATCGTAACTAGAACTGGTTTTGATACTTTCCCGAAAATATATATCCATTTGTACGCATTTTCGGATAAGTGTATAGACAAAGTGAAATATTCGCGAGAAATATGAATTCGCGTCTTAGAAAACTCGCGAATATTAGCGAAAATAAATTGCTCGCAAATAATAAGTGTTTTACAGTATTAGCTGAAATATTTCATCTTTCTTTCTTAAGACAAGTGGCAAGAAATTGTCACAAGGCAAGGTCTTATGTAAATATTACGAGATTTGATCAAAAAGTTCTTGGCCCGATGTACTTCCGGTAGTCAGAGAACCCAACTAATGGTCTAACTTTCGCCCTTCACATCAATGCACTTTGCCCACCTGTGCTCCTACATGTTTAAGCCTTCAAAATAGAACTCTCTATTTGGTCCTCAAAGAACTCATAAACCGCCTCCATGACACCTTCATTGCTTCCAAAACGTCTACCACGAAGGTTGGTTTTCAGTTTCGGAAACAGGAAGAACTCAGAGGGGGCCCAAGTCCGGAGAATATGGGGGATGGGGAAGAATTTCAAAGCCACAGATGGTTGCAGCAGCCATCACAACTTGGGATGTGTGAATTGTCGTGCTGGAGCAGAGCTCCTTGAGTCAGTTTGCTATTGGTGGCCCCTTTTGGCCGCCCAGGCGCCTCACCATCTCCAATGCTCTCCCTGCCCGTCTTAAATTCAGCAGCCCATTTTTTCACAGTGCTATATGAAGGGGACTCCTTCCAAAGTGTATCCATGAAGTTGTTATGGATTTCTTTGGGGGACATCCCTTTCTTACAGAGGTACATGTACATGTACTTAATGATGGCTCTGATTTCAACTTTCTCCATTTAGTCTAAATGACACACCCCTCTACTGATCAAAGTGTGTTTATGTTACTTAATCCATATAAAATCGCATGTAACTTAGTCAGTAATCTTCAATAAGATATCGGTATCTACATTTTGTGTGTAAATGTCCATGTAGTGGCTAGAAGTATATCGGGCAGAGAACTTTTGATCATACCTCGTACATGACTGAAATACATTGCAAGAACTTGTTTCGCTATTGAGCTTAACTAATAAACCAGACAATATGCACCTGGACACTTTATGACAATGATTCTGTCCATTACAAAACCTGATTACAAACAGAAAGCAGTAAAAAAACATCTCCTAATAAACAGCATGAACTTTGTGAACATATTTTTGCATTTTTCGCATGCATTAAAGTTTTATTTTTGCATACATGAAATTCACTTAAATTTTATTAATTGTTTTTCCTAGTTGCATAAATTACATTTAAACCTGTAGAAACAGAAAATAAAATTGTCACTTCTGCTTGGTAAATCAATTTAGAAAAGTAGGTGTGGCTTTCAGAAGAAATTGTTTAGCCTAGTCCCTACTGCTACCATTCATCAATTTAATAAACACAGATGTCAATAAGACACCTTATTAAATACCTCAAAATGATCTGACAAAATGATACCTTGTTCAGTAGAAGTATCAGTGGAATGTTCCGTGTTATATCCATCATCTAGTGACATACCATTAGGTGCAGCTCTTGTCTTCATTGGTGAATCTTCATCTACAACCTCATAGAAACTACCTAACACTTCCATAAAATCACCAACAACCTGTGTCTGTGGCATAGCTTCTACTATCTGAAATACAACAAGATAATATACAGATATACAGTGCAGCAATTAATTTCTTCTTATAAGCTACATGTACTTTATTTTCTAAAAACATTTGTTACTTTTTGTACCTGCATTTTTACCTTTTCATTGTCTTGGAAGTTACATTTGGACCAATGTTTTATAGACAGTCTGTCTCAATAATAAGCAAGCTAATGTGATATATGTAGATCATTATCTGACTTCTAATCTGCCAGATATGTGTAATGGATTTGCCAAGTTTTGATATTGGAACAGTCTGCTAAACGTCAAAAGTATTTCAATATCTAAGACTGAACTATCTTCAGGCAGGATAACGCTGGATCAGTCTACATGGATATACAGACTGGTTTGGATCTACTTTTGTATACAAATGTACTTGTGACAAATGTCAATTTCTTTTACAGTTTGTAATCAGTATCTTCCTAGATATTATTTTTTACTTGTGTTACATCTGAGTAATGAATATTTTCTGTTAATGATTAAAGGTAAAACCTTTAAAAATCAGTGGAAGTGAAAGAAAAAACCTCCAACACTTAAGATAGGAAGAAATGATTTGGTGTGCCTATAGATATTTATACTGTAAATTAAATGTATCAATTTAATTAATATCAACAAAGTATGGAAAATACCTAATTTTTCAAATAACCATTAAGTTACATACAAAAGGGACAACACATAAAGAGCCAATATTAAATGAGAAAAGAATCAAATATATATAAACGTTCACATCTCTGCAATGACAGTCAGATATATGTCGTGTTGTTAAAGTTAAAAAAAGAAATCAATATAAGCCTGTTTTAGTGAGAAATATCAAAATTAAAACTTGTGTTATTTCAGAATACAAAATTTAACCACTGTAGGTGCTGGTGTCTATGTTAATATACTTGAACCATCTGTGTGAAGTGAAAACAACATTTATATGTGCAGTCTGACATGACCATACAACCACTGTGAACTATACTATGTGTGTTTCTTATTGAAAACCTTACTAGTCATTAATACATGGCATGCTTTTTAAATTCAAAGTAGGATTTTTTTTATATATCATTTATCTAATAGGAAGATATACAAGATCCACATTTTTTAACCATTTTAACAACAAAAGTAAGACAGAATTGTAGCAAGTAGGTAGAATAGAACATAGTTAAGCGGGCTGGAACTTGACAACCTTACCCACTTGCACGTAGGGCACAAAATGGGCGCAATTTAACGAAACTATTGCCATTTGTTACAAGCGTAACACTAAGTAACACCTACGTAACGCATGTGAATTCAGTAACATTTGTAACAAGTTTGTTGCTTGAATTTCTTATCTGTGAAATTTTCATTTCACTCAAAACTCTCGTAACATTTGTAACAATGCTGTAACAATGCTGTAACAACCTTGTAACATCTATGTAACCTTATTAATTCCGATTTTTGGTCATTTTCAAGGCTTGTTCTGTAACATTTGTAACAACCTGTAACATTTGTAACAATTATCTGTGAAATTTTCATTTCACTCCAAATTCTTGTAACATTTGTAACAATACTGTAACAATGCTGTAACAATGCTGTAACAACCTTGTAACATCTATGTAACCTTATTAATTCCGTTTTCTGACCATTTTTAAGGCTTGTGCTGTAACACTTGTAACAACCTGTAACAATTGTAACAATTATCTGTGAAATTTTCATTTCATTCTCAACCTTCGTAACATTTGTAACAATGCTGTAACAACTACGTAACAACCTTGTAACATCTATGTAACCTTATTAATTCCGATTTTTGGTCATTTTCAAGGCTTGTTCTGTAACATTTGTAACAACCTGTAACATTTGTAACAATTATCTGTGAAATTTTCATTTCACTCCAAATTCTTGTAACATTTGTAACAATGCTGTAACAATCCTGTAACAACCTTGTAACATCTATGTAACCTTAGTAATTCCGTTTTCTAACCATTTTTAAGGCTTGTGCTGTAACACTTGTAACAACCTGTAACATTTGTAACAATTACGTGTGAAATTTCCATTTCATTCTCTACTCTCGTAACATTTGTAACACTGCTGTAACAACTACGTAACAACCTTGTAACATCTATGTAACCTATTTATTCCGATTTCTGTCCATTTTAAAGGCTAACGCTGTAACATTTGTAACAACCTGTAACATTTGTAACAATTATCTGTGAAATTTTCATTTCACTCCAAATTCTTGTAACATTTGTAACAATGCTGTAACAATGCTGTAACAACCTTGTAACATCTATGTAACCTTATTTATTCCGTTTTCAGACCATTTTTAAGGCTTGTGCTGTAACACTTGTAACAACCTGTAACAATTGTAACAATTATCTGTGAAATTTTCATTTCATTCTCAACCTTCGTAACATTTGTAACAATGCTGTAACAACTACGTAACAACCTTGTAACATCTATGTAACCTTATTAATTCCGATTTTTGGTCATTTTCAAGGCTTGTTCTGTAACATTTGTAACAACCTGTAACATTTGTAACAATTATCTGTGAAATTTTCATTTCACTCCAAATTCTTGTAACATTTGTAACAATGCTGTAACAATGCTGTAACAACCTTGTAACATCTATGTAACCTTATTAATTCCGTTTTCTGACCATTTTTAAGGCTTGTGCTGTAACACTTGTAACAACCTGTAACAATTGTAACAATTATCTGTGAAATTTTCATTTCATTCTCAACCTTCGTAACATTTGTAACAATGCTGTAACAACTACGTAACAACCTTGTAACATCTATGTAACCTTATTTATTCCGATTTTTGGTCATTTTCAAGGCTTGTTCTGTAACATTTGTAACAACCTGTAACATTTGTAACAATTATCTGTGAAATTTTCATTTCACTCCAAATTCTTGTAACATTTGTAACAATGCTGTAACAATGCTGTAACAACCTTGTAACATCTATGTAACCTTATTTATTCCGTTTTCTGACAATTTTTAAGGCTTGTGCTGTAACACTTGTAACAACCTGTAACATTTGTAACAATTATCTGTGAAATTTGTATTTCATTCTCAACCTTCGTAACATTTGTAACAATGCTGTAACAACTACGTAACAACCTTGTAACATCTATGTAACCTTATTAATTCCGATTTTTGGTCATTTTCAAGGCTTGTTCTGTAACATTTGTAACAACCTGTAACATTTGTAACAATTATCTGTGAAATTTTCATTTCACTCCAAATTCTTGTAACATTTGTAACAATGCTGTAACAATGCTGTAACAATGCTGTAACAACCTTGTAACATCTATGTAACCTTATTAATTCCGTTTTCTGACCATTTTTAAGGCTTGTGCTGTAACACTTGTAACAACCTGTAACATTTGTAACAATTATCTGTGAAATTTTCATTTCATTCTCAACCTTCGTAACATTTGTAACAATGCTGTAACAAGTACGTAACAACATTGTAACATCTATGTAACCTTATTTATTCCGATTTTTTGGTCATTTTTAAGGCTTGTTCTGTAACATTTGTAACAACCTGTAACATTTGTAACAATTATCTGTGAAATTTTCATTTCACTCCAAATTCTTGTAACATTTGTAACAATGCTGTAACAATGCTGTAACAACCTTGTAACATCTATGTAACCTTATTTATTCCGTTTTCTGACCATTTTTAAGGCTTGTGCTGTAACATTTGTAACAACCTGTAACATTTGTAACAATTATCTGCGAAATTTTTATTTCATTCTCAACCTTCGTAACATTTGTTACAATGCTGTAACAACTACGTAACAACCTTGTAACATCTATGTAACTTTATTAATTCCGATTTTTGGTCATTTTCAAGGCTTGTTCTGTAACATTTGTAACAACCTGTAACATTTGTAACAATTATCTGTGAAATTTTCATTTCACTCCAAATTCTTGTAACATTTGTAACAATGCTGTAACAATGCTGTAACAACCTTGTAACATCTATGTAACCTTATTAATTCCGTTTTCTGACCATTTTTAAGGCTTGTGCTGTAACATTTGTAACAACCTGTAACATTTGTAACAATTATCTGTGAAATTTTCATTTCATTCTCAACCTTCGTAACATTTGTAACAATGCTGTAACAACTACGTAACGACCTTGTAACATCTATGTAACCTTATTAATTCCGATTTTTGGTCATTTTTAAGGCTTGTTCTGTATAATTTGTAACAACCTGTAACATTTGTAACAATTATCTGTGAAATTTTCATTTCACTCCAAATTCTTTTAACATTTGTAACAATGCTGTAACAATGCTGTAACAATGCTGTAACAACCTTGTTACATCTATGTAACCTTATAAATTCCGTTTTCTGACCATTTTTAAGGCTTGTGCTGTAACATTTGTAACAACCTGTAACAATTGTAACAATTATCTGTGAAATTTTCATTTCATTCTCAACCTTCGTAACATTTGTAACAATGCTGTAACAACTACGTAACAACCTTGTAACATCTATGTAACCTTATTAATTCCGATTTTTGGTCATTTTCAAGGCTTGTTCTGTAACATTTGTAACAACCTGTAACATTTGTAACAATTATCTGTGACATTTGCATTTCATTCTCAACCTTCGTAACATTTGTAACAATGCTGTAACAACTACGTAACAACCTTGTAACATCTATGTAACCTTATTAATTCCGTTTTCTGACCATTTTTAAGGCTTGTGCTGTAACATTTGTAACAACCTGTAACATTTTTAACAAGTATCTGTGAAATTTTCATTTCATTCTCAACCTTCGTAACATTTGTAACAATGCTGTAACAACTACGTAACAACATTGTAACATCTATGTAACCTTATTTATTCCAATTTTTGGTCATTTTCAAGGCTTGTTCTGTAACATTTGTAACAACCTGTAACATTTGTAACAATTATCTGTGAAATTTTCATTTCACTCCAAATTCTTGTAACATTTGTAACAATGCTGTAACAATGCTGTAACAATGCTGTAACAACCTTGTAACATCTATGTAACCTTATTAATTCCGTTTT